ACAATTGCTATTGTGTTTGAGCCGATTGTTGATGCCACTGTGGCAGTTTTGTTTTCCTCACTGCCCTTCTACTTTACCGAGCATGACGTCCTTTTCTGGGGACGGCTCCCTCTTGACAACGTTTCCAAAGTATTGAAGGCGAAGCCTCAGCACCCTCCCTTCTCAGGAGCATTCTGGCTGCCCTTCTTCCAAGACAGCCTTGTTTGTTCTTCTGGCCGTCCATCTTCGCCCACCTGTAACACAGATGCATCGAGTCTCCAGCCTCCCTTATAGACATGGCCACTTTACTCCTTACCACCACTCTGAGCAGTAAGCCGGACCGTAAACTTTGAAGAGAGACAGGTCACTTCAAGCCCTTGGGAAAGTCCCTGAACCTCACTGCACCCTCTCTGTTCAACCAGGATAAAACTTGTGGGCCACGACCTGCTCCCCAATTCCTTTGAAAGCAAGGCATTTTGACCAGTTTACCAAACAAGGTTTCATTTTGATGTCCCCTCTTAGTATGTACATCTTTCAGTGTTGCTGCAGAGTCTTGATGTGCTTCATTATATGGGGGTTATATAATCTATAGCATAGAACACCTCCATAATTATATGGTACAAAGGGGACCCTCATGGTGCAGTGCTTCAAGCACTTAACTACTAACCAAAAAGTTGAGAGTTCGAACCCACCAGCCACTCTTCGGTAGAAAGATACGGTGTCTGATACCATAAAGAGTACAGCCTTAAAAACTCTGTGGCAGTTTTGCTTTGCCCTGAGTTCTGGCAGTGTAGCACTGAACTGCTAACCACAAGGTCAGTGGTTTGAATCAGCCAGCCACTCTGGAATAGGAGGCTGTCTACTCCTGTAAAGATTTAAAGTCTAGGAAACCCAAAGGGGCAGTTCTGTTTTGTCCTACAGGGTCCTCGTGAGTCAGAATCGACTTGATGGCAGTGGTGGCTTTAGTTCCTAGGGGCACTACGAGCCGGAGCTCACTGCATGGAAATGGGAAATGACATACGCACCATATTAGCTTTGTCCCTTGAATTCAAACCATATCTGGGCCAAAGATAAGGGCTTAGGCTGAGGAACTTGAGGGCCTGTAACATACATCAAGGGTAATTGATAAGAGAAAACGCACGCGAAGCATCCCCGAGTTCCTTGATTGGCACGTTGTAAGAGCTCAGAAAATGGCAAGTGTTCTTAAAAAGAAGCACTTGATGCTTCAGCATCAAGGAGTGAAAGGACCTGAGAAATCTTATAGGAAATGCATGTCCCCTATCTCTGGCCTCCAACATTTTTTACAAGCATATTTTTGGAAAATGTGTGGCCTATTTAATTTTTCTAACAGTGATTATCCCTTTAAATCACAAGCTTTCCCACTGTCCTATTCACAGCAGGAGATGAAGCAGCCAGAGTATTTGTTACAGATGCCAGGGCAGGCTGGGCATTAAGGGATGATGAGGCTTTCCAGATGGACAAAGAGCAGGAGGGTGATTCTGGGAGAGGAAATAGCACAAGCCTTCGAGAGGGGCAGGGTTATGCAGAAGGGGGATAAGCCTCACTCAATCTGACTGCACGGAGCCTGGCATGAAACGGTGATGAATAAAGCCATAAAACCCAAGGGGGGACTGAGAGAAATGCTGAAGAACCTTGCATACCATCGTAACGTTGTGTTTCATTTGGTGGATCCGCAGCGTTGCAACCATGTGTTAACAGAACTTTATTGAAATGAAATCTAATTTGCACGAGAGCTTTGCACACTGTGACCACACAATAGCCCATTTTTGTTCTACGGCCAAGTTCTCTTCCAAAAGGAAAAACACTCTCATCATCTCACTCCTCAGGATGCACTCTTCAAAGAGCCTTTGTCTTTGGTGGAAAAAAAGGCCATGCGCCAGCAGCCCTGGGCCCATCTCCCTAGATCACCTCACAGCGCCTTCTCTGGCTGAACTCATTGGTCCTTCCATCAGCCTGCTTCTCTCCCCAGCACAGGATTTGGCAAAGTCTACCTTTCCCTCTTATCTACACCTGCTGCTCTTGTTGGCTACGGTTCAATTGGCCCCGACTCATAATGTCTCAGTGCACGAGGGGACCGGGCTGTGTGATCTATAGGGTTTTCGTTGGCTGACTTCCAAAAGTAGATCTCCAGACCTTTCTTCCTAGTTCAGCTTAGCTGGAAGAGCCACGTCTGTAGCGCCACAGAGCCTCAATGGATCAGAGCCTGGTAGTTGCCCCGGAGGTGCTTTGGCTGGGAATTGAAGCTGGGTCTCCTACATGGAATGAGAAGGCTATCACTGACATACCACTGCCTGCCCTCAGGTGCCTCAAAAAAAAAAAAAAAAAATGACAGTATAATGGAAACAAGGACCCTGTGAGTTAGTGCCCACCCTCTTTCAAGTCGAACCCAGCATAGTCAGGACCTCCTGTGCTCGGCTTAGTACTTTGATGTTTCACCCCCATCGAGAATGGGACATTGTCCCACCTGTCTTGTTCACTACCGTGTCCTTGGCGCCTCCCACAGCATATGGCCATCAAATACGCCCCCCAACAATATAGATCCATAAGGATTAGGGGAAGCCAAAAAGTATTGCTACTGGGGGCTCCAGTTCATATATGTTCCCGTTTATTCCAAACAGTGTGTGTTTAGACAGACCTCTGCAATCGTGGTTGACCACAGACAAGTTCTCTCAACAATACACTTGTCTCCTTAGGGTGCTTTCAAATGAAGGTCCAGTCAAAATTGTGACCCCCAACAATATCTGCTGGGCCACTTAAATTTGGGTCAGAGAAGTCAGATCCGAAGATGACCATGGCTCTCGGGGGGATTCTGAAGGAGCAATCTTAATAGAGTTTCTGGAAGGACACAGGGCCATCTTGAGGGTTTCTTATGAAAACGTTTTCAGTGAATTGAAAAAAAGGCCAGGAAAGTTGTATCAAGAGAGGTTTTCCCCCACAACATGCACCTGTTTGTTCTTGGAGAGTAGTAGTGGGAGGGGGAGGGGGGGCGTCAATAAGAGAATTTTTTTTCTCTATCCACCCTGCAGCCATGAGCTCCCTCTTCAGACTTCCTTTTGTTCCCCACGCACAGGGCATTTCAGAGGAACATGGTTGGGTCCCTGAGGGACGAGGAAACGGCCCCTGTGACGTGGCATAAAGGGAAGAGCACGGGACTCTTTGGAGGACAGTTGGCAAGATAGAGACGTAGCGGTCAGAAGTATGCAGACCTGGATTGGAGAGGTGTCCAGAGACAGTCGATAGCTTCATGTTTTGGTATTTTTTCAAGTAAAGGAGTCTATGATTTTATAGCAATACTTTTTTTGGTTTAACGTACTCTCATATAACCAGTTGAGGGAAGGCAACTTTGGTTGAAATGAGGGTGACGGCAAGAGCCTTTGGTTGGAGCCGAATGGGGACCCTGTTCCCAGTTCCCAGGGTCTACTCACAGTCCTGCACGGGAGTCCCGGAGGCACATCTCTGGGTGGGGAATACCAGGGAAGGAGTTATTGTAGATTACGGTATGCTCTGAAAAAGAATGTGTGGCTTGGGGGTGCAGTGTTATTCTCTTGGTCTGAGGAAAGTATCCAGCTTGATGATCAACAGAATGGATAGATGATCAAAGTAGCTTTGTGTAGACAAGAAGCATATTTCATTTATTTGTTTCACCATCTCCTCTCTCTTGGGTAGGGAAAGAATATAAAAGACATCTGTCAGCTTGTCGGAATTGTATTCCTTCGTGCAAGGCCGCAGGGAGAGTAAATCTTTCTTTGGAAAGGCATCTTGGCATTGCCAGGGCCATCTAGAAATTACTCTGTCCTCAGCAGAGTCACGCACACTTGAGCCCATTCCTGGGGCTGAGATGATGGGACCCAAGGAAGACCTCGTGACGCCATCACTTGGTCCTCGCAGTCAACTGTAACGGAGTCACCGCCAGTTACCTCTGGATCGATTCTGAGTTGCGGCAACCCCATGCTGACTCATGGCAGCTCCATGTGTCCGAGTAGCCTTGCACTCCCTGGGGTTTTCAGTGCTTCTGACCTCAGGAAGTAAATCACCAGACCTTTCTTCTAAGGTGCCTTGGAGTGAATTTGAATCCAACCTTTCAATGAGCAGCCAAGTATGTCAAGGTGTGCACCATCCAGGACTCTGTAATATAGTCCTAGCATCACTTGATCTCCTAAATATGGCAAAGGGAAGTGAAAATTACCCTCTGATTGAGTCACACTGCCAAAGAAAATCAATAGAAATGGCCCAAGGTCCGTTGGCACGGTCTCAATTTTAATTGCCATTGACTTTAAAATTACCGGAGGACGGGTTTCAGGATTCCACCTCTGTGAGGCTGGCAGGAAATAATGAGCAGAGGAGGTTAAAGGAGAAGTGGCCTCTCTTTGCAATCCCAGTTGAAAGACAAAGCCTGCACTGGTCAAAAGTAAGACACTTTTCCACCTCCGAATATTCTTTCCAAGTTCTGAGGTCCTGTGTTTGATGCGTTTAAGTGAGAGCAATATCAGCGGAAGTTACCTTGGTTCAGAATGTAGGAGACAGTTTTGTCTAGACTTTCAGGAAAGATGTGGAATGACATTTTCGGAACAAATCAAAATATATTTTTAAACTCCTTTCTTCCCGTCAGGAAGAGATTTGACACGCTCCTATGACTTGAATCTGACCGATCTATAAATGGCCTCCATTGTTGGATAGAAAAAGTCCAGTGAAAGGGAGCCATTGAGGAAATGGATTGAAAATGCCCTCAGTTCACTTTCTAGCCGGAGCATCCCTGCCAACACCGATAGAACAGCGAGTGTTTATGGGGTCCTTTCTCAGTAGCCCCTACGCTCATGATGTGTTTCTTATGTAATCTTCACAGCAGGCCCACAAGGTAGGCATGATCGTGACTCCAGGTTTTAATGACAAATTAGAGGTACACGGAGCTGGGATGCCTAACCCAAAGGTGACCAAGCAAAGACCAGGTCTGGCTCCCAAACTGCCCTCCTCACCACCCCACTGTATCTTCTTTTCCACAGGGCCAGCATCGTACAGAAACGCATCATTTATTTTCAAGACGAGGGCTCTCTGACCAAGAAGCTTTGTGAGCAAGGTAAGAAGAGCTCTCTGGTTGGGGCAGGGGAAGATGGACAGAAGGTGGCTCATTCCATCCAAGCATTTGTGAGAGGAACCGAGGCGACTGGGCTTCGTGGGCGCCTCTGGATTCTGTTGCCTTAGGTAGCTCCGGTTTTTAATCTGGCTGTGTGCTCCGGATAATTGGATCCGCCGTAAGCTCTCATTACTCAGCTTGATTCCCTGGGTGGAAGATAATGTACCTATATTGGTATCGTCTTCTTATTTTTGTGAAACAGTGATTATTCTGAAGAGGTTATTTAGAATAATTCACAGGACTTAATTAAGGAATGTGCAATTGTGCACCTTTATAAAGCCTGTAATGGGTCTCTGGAATGCTCATTGCAGTGGGAACTTGTTTGGTGTCCAGGCAATGTGTGAGAATTTTCTCCAGGGAAGATCAGCAGGGAAAGGGAATGCAAAGGGGATGTTGACCTTGTGATTTTACCACAACGGCAAATCCAGACCTTGCTTGGACAAGCACATCAACCTCTTTACTCCTTGGGGTGAAGACATTCTAACAAAAAGATAGAGACATTAGAGGAGTGACCTTGATTTAGGATAGGCCTAGGTTGGAATCTGAGGAGCCCTGGTGACACTATGGGCTACTAATCACAAGTTGGTGGTTCAAACCCACTAGCTGCTCCGCTAAAGAAAGATACTGCTGCCTGCCCCAATAAGAAGCATTTCTTCCTGTCCACAGGGTTGCTGTGAGTCGGAATCTATTCAAGATGACAGTGGGTATGGGGGACAGGTTCCAATTCTGCTTCTGCCCTTCCTAGCCAGGTGCCCATATGACTTCATGTCTGTAAACAGGAGCCTTCTTCCCTGGGTACACAGTAAACAAGTGCCAGCTCTTGTCATCTGGATCTGAAAACTTATTTATTAGTCGGCCATAAGAACTAAATACTTAAACATCTAAAGCTATTTAGAAGTTATTAGAGAATTGAAAAATAAAGAGGGAACCTTCTATTGTTATCCATCTTAGCTATCGCATGCCAATTCACCTTTGCAAATCTTTCTTTGCCTTTAGAGCAATAAATGTTTCAAGAAGAAATAATCCTATCTGACATAGACACTAAAGAAAAGAAGGGTTGATAAAGGTTTCCTGAGAAAAGCATAACTAATATTTCTTAGTTTGAGGAGCCCTGATAATGCAGTGGTTACGCATTGGGCTGTGAACCTCGTGGTCGGCAGTTGAAAGCCACCAGAAGCTCCAAAGGAGAAAGACAAGGCTTTCTACTCCCGTCAACGATCATAGGGTCAGCACCTCACTGGCGGTGCTATGAGTCAGCCTTAACTCCATGGCAGTGAGAGCAGTTTTTATTTCTGGCTATAACCCAGGCCCTATTCTAAACACTTCACATGCATTAATCATGCCATTGACCCAACTCTTTATGGTATTGTAATACCATCCGTATGTTGCAGATGAGGATCCTGAGCAAAGTTTTTAAATCTCATGCTCAATGTCATACAGCTCATGGGCGAAAGCAAGGTTTGAATGCAGGTCAGGCATCTCCAGAGTCAGTGCCCTTAGCTACTGACTTTCCATCAAGGAGCAAATATACTCATATACTCATACCCATGTGTGTCAGAGGAGAATTGTGCCCCAGAGGGTTTCTGACTCGTTTTTCTGAAGTAGATCTCCGGGCTTCCCTTTCCAGGGGCCACTGGTTGAAATCAGGCCACTAGCCTTTTGGTGAGCAGCCAAGTGCGTTTATCATCTGTCCTTAAGGGTTCCTCTCTCAAAGGAACTCTCTCTCAATTTCATAGCATGCATCATTGGCAGGTCACTGTGCTGTCTCCCTACAGATGAGCTAAAGCCGAAACTGGGCCCTAAACAGTTGCTTGTTGAACATGGAAACAGAAAAGGCAGAGAGATTTAGATCGCCCATATGAGGGTCGTATCTGCCCCAGGCCTAGAGACGAAGTCACCTTTCCCAACATGGGTGGCTCTTCTATTGCTCTGAAGTCCATGCGGCCTTTCTCCAAACAGGGAACATCTCAACTGAGATGTCTTAGAAGAAATGCGTGCTCCTTAGAGGCAAGGATCTTGATTCCAAAATGGCAACCGTATTCCTGTCCTCCCTCCCTCTGTGAGATAGTACCTGGGAACCCTGGGTCCTCACTCACTGCCATTGAGTCTGCGGACTCCCAGCAATCCCATAGGACAGGGTAGAACTGCCTCTGTGAGTTTCCGAAACTGTAACTGCTTATGGGAGTAGAAAGCTTCATCTTTCTTCCCAAGGAGCAGCTGGTGGTTTCGAACTGCTGACCTTTAGGATTGCAGCTCAATGCTTAACCACTATGCCACCAGGTACCCTGAGTTAGAGGTTTAAATATTCTGAGTCACACATTTACAGGCCAGCTCCTGACCTGTGCCCATAGTCAGTTACCTCTGTGGTAGGTTCTGTTCATTTGACTGTCAGAAGACAACTTTATTTCCTGGCTTTGAGCTTTTCACTGGCAGCCCTGTGTACTGACAACAATCATTAACTAAAGTGCACTTTCCAGTGCTTCAATCTTGTTGTTTGAAGCCTTTGTCTAAGCTGTGAATGTGCTAAGATTCTGCAAAGACAGTGCCAATAAAATGGCCTTGCAAATCTATTAGCTATCACTTAGCAGACAGAAAGAAATTCTAGCAAAATGATTGCAAATGCATGTGTATCAAAAGACTGCTTTCAAGGGCAACTTGTTGTTGTTAGGCGGCAGTTCATAGCAACCCTGTGTACAGAACACAACATTGCCTCGTCCCCATCAGCGCTGGGATGTTTGAGTCCATTGGTGCAGTTACTGTGTCAGTCCATCTCCTTGAGAGCCTTCTTCTTTTTCGCTGACCCTAGGCAACTCCGTGGCCAAAAGATGACCCAGCAGGACCTGGGCTGTGGGATTACTAGGCGTCCTTGTAGATGGCCCCAGGAACAGCAGACCCGCAATGAAATGCGTCAGCAAAATAGGTTACATTAAGAACGCCTTTGAGCTACAAATATAGAACTAAGAGACTTTTCTGAAAGGTATACACCCACTTCATTATCTGTAGCTCTCTCATCAGGGTCTCCGTGTTGAGTCGAATCCATTCTATCAAGGCACAAGAGAGAAAAACATGTACCTGTTATTTTTTTCCCCCAAATTGAAGTCACTAATCCTCAGGGGAAAAATTAAGAACTGCACAGATGAAAAACAAGAGCCATCTATGGTTTGTTTTAAAGCACCATAAAACATTTGTTCACAGTCGAGAGCAAAGGAAAACATAGTCTGATCCAGAATGGGATCGTAATAAACAGATGCATACCATGTCACGGCTGTCTAAGTGGGGAGACAACGCAAGGGAAAGATAAAGGGCAAAGCAGGGAGGGAGAGAGGAGAAAAGGAAGTGGAAGACTGGTGTGGAGAGATGGGGAAGAAGGTCTGTCAAGAGCTGCTCCAGGGCCTCATGTCACCATATGGGACCTTAGGCTCTGCCACCCTAACTTCCCTTATGCATGGCCCTATAAGCTTTTTTGTCAGTAAGAACTAGCATACCTGTTTGGTCTTTATTTTTTATTTCAAACTTCTCACTGATCTCCAGTCTATTCTGACTCACTGTGACCCCATAGGCCAGGTAGAACTGGCCCTGTGGGTTTCTGAGACCGTGAACTCTTTATGGAAGCAGAAATTCTCCTCTTTCTCCCGAGGAGCAGGTAGTGGTTTAGAACTGCTGACCCTGTGGTTAGCGGCTCAATTCACAATCACTAAGCCAGCAGGGCTCCTCTAGTTCAAACTTAAACACTTATTTTTTAAATTGGAAGTTCATTTTCCTTTAGAATTCCAATGGGCTTATTGTGAGTGTGTGCTTCTGAGCCCTTGGAAAGATCTTGAAGTTTACTACCCATACTTTTGAGAAGGTAACGCGATCCATCTTTGAAAAAAGTCCTTGGTTCCTCATTGAATAGCACCAGGCGAAGTTACAGTCGAAAGCATAACCTGTGTCGGTTAGGTCTGAGCCTGATTTAGCTTGGTTTTGTTTTTATAGCACAATTTATGATAACGGGGATGCAAACGAAGAAATCTTTAGAAGATGCTGACTTATGCTACCGGCTATAAAATAAAAGAGTCCTGATGGTGGAGTGGTGAAGCATTAAGCTGCTGACAGCAAGGTCAGCAGTTTGAAACCACCAGGCCTTCAGTGGGAGAAAGCCAAGGCTTTTCACTCCCTTCAAGAGTCACTGTCTCAGAAACTCACAGAGGGCAGTGCGACCCTGTTGCACATGGTCGCTAGGAGTAGGAATCGACTTGATGGCTGTGAGTTTGGCTGTAACACATGCAGAGCCTGGTGGCGCTGTCAGGTAAACGTTGGACTGCTGACCGCATAGTTGATGGTTCAAAGCTCCATGGGAGAAAGACGAGTCTGTCTGCTCCGGTAAAGATTTACAGCCCCATAAACCCTATATTGCAGTGCTGTGTGTCAGAATCAGCTTGGTATGATGGGTTTGGGGTTGCTTTTTTTTTTTGGGGGGGGGGTTGTTAAAAAACACATACATTGAACAGGTGGTTCACACAGGAAAGGAAAACTGAGCTTTCCATACAACAGAGGGGAGCCCCCCCCCCCCACCAAATGACAATCCTCTGGCCTCCCCCAACAGTCCAAGAAGGAACTAAACGGTGATTTCTGCTTTAGATTGTTTCAGACGCCTTTGGGGCTGTTCAGAAATTCCAGAGCCAGGAAGGGAGGTAATTTTTGAAGTGCCCATGAAATAGCACAACTAGAAGCCACAACACAACCTCTGTTCTATCTCTAGTGTCACGCAGACCCGGCGAGGGACCGTCTTCCTGGGTGTAATGTGGCGCAGAGCCGGACAGCATGTGCTCTGGATTCAAAAGGGCCTAGACTCTAGACCTGCCTACCCTTCTTGCGACCTTGAGCGAATTAACCCAATCCACTTCAGTGTGTTGATCTGTAAAATGGGGATAATCAAAGTGCCTGTCTCTTGGGATGATTATCAGCAACTTAGGCAATACATAGAAAAGAATAGGGAGACTCAATCCACTGTGGTTATTGCTCCAATGACCTGTATTGTGGTCTCCATCCTAGAGCCCAGATTGGATTCTTCCACCCACCACTGACTTTGCCTCCCCAAATCAAATGAAGCCAGAAAATTCCAAAACCTGGACTCAAAAAACCACTCTTCCTGGTGCTCAGAAAGATGTTTATGCTCATTGTCACTGTTCTTTGTACAAGATTGTAGACTAAATGTCCAACTGGCAACCAAAAAAGAGAGGGAAAGAAGAGAGCGTTTATATTAATACAGCTGGAGGCACGGGAGAAAAAGCAAGGGAGGCAAGTGGCATCTGTAGTCACTGTTCTCCTCCTTCAGGAAGCCCAACAGACTGAAAGCAACAATGCACAGTTAGGGGTGTGGCCTTGACAATCGGAAATACTGAATGTATTCATGTAGTCTCTCTTTCCCCACTTATCAGCTATTCACAGCTAAAAATGGAGGTGAAGAGGGACTCTTCCTAAGGTTTTCCTGACAGTCTCTATCCTCAGCTAAGAGCATATTTCCAAACTCCATCGGTCCCAGGCACGTCTCAGAAAGCTTGATAAGAAGTGCCGTGACTATATTTGCATCTCTCTCGAGCACTCCCTCTTTCCTGCTCAACAGTCATTCACATCTCCACTTGTCCTCACTGCTCCGTCAAGGTGACGACCTCTGGCCCTGGAAATCTGGCCCAGAGATCATTCTTAGAGAAGATATTCACATGCGTATCCTTCTTAAAATGTGATGCTGAGATCCCGTGGTGGGAGGGAGAGGAAAGGACACTTGGACCCAGAAAGGAGAATTGAGCCAAATATTACCCTGGTGCCCCAAGATCGTCTCCATCTCAAAATGTCCCATGGATCTCCTCAGATTATTAAAGGAAGCCGTCCTTTTTTTTTTTTTTTGTTACTTTAAAACCATTTTGACCATATTTACAGGTATAAAAAAAATCCCTTAGAGCTCAAGTATTAATCGGGGTCTAAGTCTTGTTACTCAATGAAAACTGCACCCCGCCTTCTTTTCTGCAGGGTTCTGGGTGAGAGGAAGATGCTGCTGCCTCAAACACTGCCCATTGCTTCCGCCTCAGGTTCTGCCTTTTCTCCCTCTTGCAGATCCCGCCTTTGATGGGGTGACTGACAAGCCAATCTTAGACTGCTGTGCCTGTGGAACTGCCAAGTACCGACTCACGTTCTATGGGAATTGGTCTGAGAAAATGCATCCCAAGGATTACCCTCGTGAGTAAAGCCCTCCCATGATGGGCTGGGGAAAAGAGCAGAGTGCTCTCTGCCCCTGGGAGCCACCAGAGGGTGGAAGTATATCAGGTCAGCTTGCTCTTATGGAATGACTCATGCCACACACAGTCCAGGTCAGTGAATTCTTTGAGACGGGCAGAGGAGCTGTGAATGCTTTTAACTTCTTTGCATAGCATTGTTGTGAGTACATTCTGATGTGATTCAAAAAGGGTTCCTGAGTTTATCCTGCTTATCTTCATGCCAGGCATTGAGCAACCTCAGCCCTCCTTTAATGGCTCTGTCCATGAATTACACAATAGGTCTCTTTGTGCTAGAAATAGCTGGCAAAGGAACTCACTCTTGACTCCACAGACCAAGGTCGGCACATGCTCAGCATCCTCATTCGTGGCAGATGTGAGTCATCGGTCAGCACAGCCTTTCCCTGCTGATGCTAGGCCCCTTCCTAAGGCTGGACTCCAGATCAGCCTTTCCCTGCTGATGCTAGGCCCCTTCCTAAGGCTGGGCTCCAGATCTTACAAATACTCTAGCTCACTGCCATCCAGTCTGTAGGGCAGTCTAGAACTGCCCCGTAGATTTCCGAGGCAGGCATAGAAAGCCTCGTCTTTCTCTTGCAGAGAGACTGGTGCTTTCGAACTGCTGGCCTTGTGGTTTGCAGCTCAGCTCGTAATCAACTGTGCCACCAAGGCTTCAGATGCTCCAGAGAGCCAATACCAAATCCTTGAGAGCTGCAAGGAGATCCCAAATGTGCTATTTGGGAGTAGATGCTCAATTAAAACCCTACCAACTCCTTTTCAGCACATAACAGAGTCAAAAAAGCCCTGACCTATGCTAGGCATTATGTTATGCCCCTGTAATATAATTTTTAAAAAATAAGCAGTTGCAATTCATTCAACTCCAACTCATAGCCTCCCCGTGTGTTTCAGAGTACAATGGCTTATTTTAGGAAGAGATCTTCCAAGATGCCCCTGGGTGGACTCAAACCTGCAGCCAGTCAGTTATCATCTGAGCTAGTTGACTGTTCACACCATCCCAAAGATATAATAGTCCACAACAACAACAAAGGGGGACATGTCCTCATGTGACCCAGAGGCTAGTGGGGAGAGTGACAACCCAAATAATTCTAGTAACTGGATAACAGGCTTAACTGTGCGAGGAGATGTTTTACATAAGTTCCATCATTTAATCTTTAAGATAAACCAGCGGTTTATTAGTGGGAGTAGATAGATCATTGGTGAACAGAGAAATGCCATGAGATAACCAGATGTGTGTCATAGATCTAAGATTCAATTCTAGATTTGTCCAACTCCTTATCCTCCCATGGCCTGGATTGCCTTAGAACCGGATGTCTCCCAGTCTCTAACTGGGTGGCAGGATGTCCGGGCAGTGCACTGAGCATGTTTTCCAGCTCATTTTTTATTTCAGTCGTGGTCATTTCACTTTGGAGTTGCTTCAGCTGGAAGGACAGGATGGAGAAAGAGATTAAAAAGCGGGATGTGTGTTAAGCCCCAAGGGAAAAGGGAAAGGAGGACATGTGGTTGGGGGCCTGAGTCTTCCCAGGCCAACACAGACTCTGTGCTTCCCAGTCACCCACCCAAAGGCAACGCCAACATTTCATGGCACATTCAGAGGGCTATTGCTTAATTTTACCCACATGTAATCAGGGCTTGGGATCTGAGAAACCTCATACTCTTACAATCTTCCTACTCTGGGATTGGGCCTGATCGGCTTCAGCTGGTGTGGAACACTTGCGTGAGTAAACTTGAACCAGGCTGGAGGGGGTGGGAGTGGAGATAAAACCCACTTGGAACATCTATGATGGAAAAAATTCCCCAGTGCCTCTAACCCACTAACCCAGAGAAACAAAATTTTAAGGACCCATTATTTGTCTTTTGTAATTTTAAGGAGTTTTTTGTTCTTTTCTGTTCTGCTACTGTCATTTCCCAGAATTATTTCCCCCAAAATAGGGTGAGGGGGCGAGGGTGCATATGGGACCATTGTTTCTGGGCCTTTGGGCCAAATCAAGCCCAAATCCAACAGAATTTCTGTGGAGTTGTTAGGAGTCTCTTAATAAACACAGCAGACATCTGTTCCAGATTCCACATGATTGTTCCATTGTCCGGTATTACATATCAGGTTTTTTCTCATTATTGGTTGGGAAAAGTTCACAATTTTTACAGAATATCCTTTATCACATTATTCGGTAATTACTTCTTGAGGAGTCTACTGGAGCCCTTTGGACGGGCACAGAACAAGAACTTGGCATGCTCCAAGTTGGTCCTTAGTGCCTGAAAGTGTCAGATGCCTTCCCAATGTGGTTGTTAGGCACCATTGTGTCGGCTCTCACTCATAGCGACCCCCACATGTAATAGAAAGAACTGCCCAGCCTTGCCACTTCCTCGCAATCGTTACGGTTGCAGCCACGGTGCGGTGCATCTCCCCAAGGGTCTCCCTTTTGTTTGCTGACCCTCAACTTCCCAAAGTACGATATTCTTTTCCAAGACTTGGTCTCGGCTGATGGATGCCATGTTCGAAATATGAGAGAGAAAAAACTCATTTCTAAGGAGCATTCCTCCAAGGAAGGTCTGTTTGTTCTTCTGCCAGCGCATGATGCTCTGGAGAGTCCTTGCCAATACCATAACTCAAAGGCATCAACTCTTGTCTGATCTTCCTTATTTATGATTCAGCTTCCACATTGATAAACGATTGGAGATCTCATGGCTTGGGTCAGGAGCACCTTAGTCTCAAAGCCTTCCTGTTACTGTGCGCTAACCATTAAAATCAGAGTGGCATTCGTTGTGACCCAGGCGGCGGATTCCCAGCCTGCATCTGGTCACGCTGGCCAGCACGGAGTGGAAGGCTCAGGCCTTTCCTTGGAGGAGAAATGATGGACTTGTTCACATAAGGGCCTGGAGCCCTTTGGAAGAGCACAGGAAGGATCCAATCGGGACCTTGAAATTTCCCAAGGATCTGTCCACCATTTTTTAAGTACTACATGGATTCCCATTTACCACTCCAGGAGTGATTCTGTCTTGAATACCAATCTTTGTCGTTAAATGTAGAGATGTTTCACAGGAAACGCCAATTCCCTCTCTCTTTTATTAGTAGTTGAGAGTACCATTGTCTCCCCAGGCATCTTAGAACAGAAGTTGTCAGATTTTTTTTATTGTTTTGTTGGTTTTTTTCAGAACTCATTTACATGCTAAAAATTATCATTAATGTGGGTTAGATTTATCACTATTTGCCACATTAAAAACTAAAACTGAGAAATTGTTTAAACGTTATTTACGTGTACTCCATGGAGAAAGTGATTGGGGTTGTCTAGGATTTCATCTTGCTTTGATCCCCAATCAGTGTTCCTAGAAGCAGCTGTCAGGAGAACAAGCAGTGCATTGCACTGGGTAAATGTGCTGCATTGTGCGGGAGTTACATAATTTCATGTCAACTTGATAAATAGGTTAGAGGGGTGGAGTCTAGCCTGTCAATAGGTCATGGCCTTCTCATGGGAATTCTGGGAGCTTCCTCTCTTGCTCCCTGGAGGCAGGACACACACACACTCTCTCTGCTTCACCTTCCTGTTGACAAGCCACATGGAGCCACGCTGATGGAAGCCAGAGCGCTGGAGTTGCATCCACCGCTACTTGATCCACAAGACTTCCCACCCACTGGCCAGTGATCCTCTTGCATTCGGCATCATTGCATGTGCTGTGTGAGTGGGAAGAGGGATTTATGCACTAGTATCGGACATATGGGTTAATATCAGACTTATGGACTTGATCTGGACTGGGCTGGGATGTTTTCTTAATATACCATTGCTCTTTTATAGAAAGTTCTCTCTTACACACAAATGAGTGCCTCTGGATTTGTTTCTCTAGTCAACCCGGCCTACCACACACAGAATATCTTCAAAGTGTTGAAAAGCAACAAAGTTACTTTAAGGACTAAGATGTGCACCTCATCCAAGCCATGATAACTTCCATTGCCTCCTATGCATGTGAAAGTTGGACATTGCATAGAGAAGACCAAAGAAGACTGATGTGTCTGAATTATGGAAAGTCACCTAGACTGCCGAAAGATCAAACAAATCTGTTTTGGAAGAAGGATGGCCAGAGTGGTCCTTAGAGGCCAGATGAAGAGACTTTGCCTTAAAGGCTTTAGATACTAGGCCCTGGAGAAGGGCATTGTGCTCGGCAAAGCAAAGGGACAGCAGTACGAGGAAGGCCCTGGATGAGATGGCCAACACAGTGACTGCAGCAATGGGCTCAGGCTTAGAAACAACTGTGAAGACAGGACCACGTGGAGTTTTGTCGTGCTGTGCGTGGGGTGGCTACATGTCTGAACCACTTCATCCAGTGTCACCTATCAACAACAACAGACCCTGTAAACTGCATAGCAACCCATTTCCTGATATATCCTCAGCTTTAATACCGTCAAACAAATCTATATTGACAGTTTTTTTCCCAAAGAGCCAGTTGTTTTGTTTTGGTTTTTTGTTTTTCCTCCTTCCACCGTGCAATATAAAAGGGGCTACTAGAAAAAGATACTTTATATGATTCAAGTTGATTTTACGGTGAAACTCAGCTGCCTTTGCAATGGGGCCACTTCATTCTTAAGAGTCCTAATGCCTACCTCTCCCCATATGAAAGGCCACGACTCTTAGCGATTATTTTCCTTTCTTCCTAAGTCAGCACAAACTTCATCCATGTAAAACAGTGGTTCTCAATCTTCCTAATTCCGTGACCCTTTCATACAGTTCCTCATGTGGTGTTGACCTCCCCCCTAACCATAAAATTATTTTCGTTGCTACTTCATCACTGTCATTTTGCTCCTGTTATGAATCGGGCGACCCCGGTGAAAGGATTGTTCGCACCCAAAGGGATCACGAACCACAGATTGAGAACCGCTGAAGAGTTTGTGTATCACTTTTGGGTCACATTGAGTCCTTTTTAAAATCTTGCACTTGATTTGAATTCCGCTGTTATCCT